CTGTCTAGAATTTAAAGCTAGCGGCTAGGTATGTGTCGCGTCGCGTTTGTAAGTGGTTACTGTAGACGATGGCAGACACGAATGCTGTCGAGTCTCACTACACAGTGCGATTTCGGTTGGGGTCTATTGGAGGGAGTGCGTTGCGTTCGGCGACTGCAGTTAGCAGCTTCCGTTTAGCACGTGCTGATCTGGTGGTTTGGTATGGACTTTGCAGTAGCTACTTGGCTATTCACAGGAGGGGCTAACGTTAGCAGTGTGGCCTTGCCTCTAGGTCCATGACGGTGATGTCCGAGTATCACCTCTATAAATTGATACCTACTAATTGTGTATAACTTTCGCTGTAGGACGAGTTCGAGTTCAGTGTGGCAATAAGCTAGAGCAGCACCGGAAGACAGTGGCGGCGTCCTTGCGTTCGTACATGTGTGATGAGAGTTTGTGTGATGTGTTTTATACTCCCTTGATGTTAAAGGAAGGTGATGTAGCCGAGGAAATTGCAGTAGTTAGAGGGCTCCTTCACGCTTCAGTAATAGAGTAGCAAAGCGTGATGATTTTGAGGCAATGAGGGGAAAGCTATGGCGACGCAAAAGAGACTGCTGAAGACGGACAAGAATGGTATGCTTTACTAAACTTGTCAAACAGTCAGCAAAGTATGATGAATAATCTTTTGAGACCGAGCAATTAGCAGGAATCCAAGTACATGCAGGTTCTGTGGGTGATAGGTTAGCCAATTTTCCAGGCTATTTGTTAATTTTGACCTTCTGATTCCGCTTTCATTGCGTCGACAGTTTGCGTTTTCAACGAGCGGGACGAAAGCTGAGATAACGTATTAGAATCAGATTCTCCTCAGCTTGGCGTGTTGTTCTGAACAGCTTAAGCTCTTTTATATATATATTCCAACTGCCGTATATAAGCATCGTGGAGTATCGCTTCTTTTCAACGCTCAGAGCGCATTAACCTCCTACGCAGAGATGGCATAAAAATATTCGAAGGACTCTTATCGGGATAAAAATATAAATTTATACTTTTTATCATTTTATCGGTTAAACCCTTTTAAATCGGATAGCACAGGAGATGAAGAAGCACCCAAGCTGCACTAATAGTGTCCCGCCCAAGTTGTCACCTCATTGGCCAAAGAACACGATGGCCGCGGCGACCAGCGGCTCTACGTCCTTCGTTCCCACTCTTGTGCTTGCGAGACGTCTTCACTCGACTGAATATCTGACGTCAGTCACGGCCAAGGATGACAACGAGGTCATCGTTCTGACAAGAGCAGTATTACTATCAAGATGTGGGCACGCCGCGTGCCGTTGTGGACGCCAACTACCGAAATCGTTACTCCACTTGTAATACAACACTACGACATCAGCCTAAAGGTGCTCAAAGCACCATAAGTGTGTACTGAATATATAAAACACTTTAACTTAATTGCTAATAAACAAGTGTTCAATTATGCAGCGGATATGAAGAGCTTAGTAACCCCCCCCCCCCCTTTTACTGCTAATGATACCGACGAAAGCGAGGCGGTTTTGGAATCCGAGATTTCATCTAAAGACGCCACAGAAGGTAGCCAAAATGCTTACTGTGGGAAGTTTGTTTTGGTTTATGTAGCTTGTCTACAATGTTACATTCTTAGGTAAGTTGTGTGGACGTAAGCGTCAACAGAGAACATGGCTTAATTCCCAGAGCACGAGGTCTAAATCGTTCACATCGGGAAGAAAACTTTGACGTTCACCAACTGAGCCAGGTAATATGGCTTAACCGGCATTCCCGAGCTCTATTTATAACTTTCTGAGGTGACGTGGCTGTTGTAGTAGTTTGGAGTGAGCACTATGAGAGCTAGTATCGATGGAGACGCTGTATGAGAAGCTGTAGCCTTAAAAAGATTTTCTCCTTCTTTAGAGCTTCCAAAGACACGGAAAGGGGATTTACTATTATCGTGGTTCTCATATCCAACGTTCACGTGGGCTCCTGAGCGCTTGTCGGATACGCGGAAGGCATCCTGTATAGTGCAGGGTTGTGCGTGCACTCCATTCGTGAAAGAGTATACACACCGTATAGTGGACGACGTTAAGCACACAGTACTTCACTTTGCTTGGTATGCGTGTGCAGGTCTGTCAAAGGGGACCATGTTCTCTACGATCGACGACGAATACTTGACCAAAACAACCCTCCTTGTGTTTCCTTACCTGCTGGCATGCAAGAGCGGTATCTCCAAGGAAATGTTTAGTATCGTGTACGACATAAGTATGTTGACAACGAAGGGGATATCTGGGACTATCAGCAACGTTTTGAAACGTCGTCAGAAGCGATATTACTACGTTAAAGCTCTAGTTGCTGTGACTACAGAATCTAAACAACTACAAGATCCCAGTTTTTCACCACCTGGACTGCCTACCGTTAAAGATCATCTGAATCGCAACTCATGTTTTGACGAAGAAACCATTCAGGAAATTCGGTTAGAGCGGCCCAAACTCTGTTTCAGATTGTTGGAAGCTCAAATTGCTCATGCGAAGTGCAAAATACTCATTCGAATTGATCATTCCCAGAAATTTTGCAGTAACTGAAAGGTTTTGGTTCTGGTGGCGAAAAAGGTCAGCTATCTAGTGTGCGGATGCTTCTCTTAGTGCAAAATGAAGTTGGTGAAATTGTAGCTCGAGGGCTGACACGATCTGAAAACCAAGACGAGTCAGCAGTTATTCTTCGTTTGGTTGTGCTGCTACTAGACAAGCTGGCAACTCCTGCTCCAGTCTATGTGTGTGTGATGATGCTAACAAGACCCGCGGAATGGTGGCTAAAGTGTTTTGAGCAAATGTCGAAACAAAGCAAGATCCTTTTCACGTAATACAGGAATTTACTAAAAACCTGATAGATAAACCTGAGCGCAAGGCGTTGGCTCAAAAGCTGTCCTCGGCGCTATATGATGTAGCGGGAAGCAATCGTAGTCCAGAAGCAATGGCTTCCGAGTGTCTATCTGTAATACGCGAAATAAAACTGTCCAGTGTACGAGCTGATGCTACAACATTAGAAAACTGCATTGCCGTCAATATCGCTCAGATACTGAAGGGTGATATGTACGTTAAAGAAAACGAGTATCTGGAAGAATGGAAAGCGCATTCGAATAGTCTCCACCAGTCCATTAGAAGCAGTTCACCCCAAGTTGAGAAAGTTGTTCGGTCGGATGGTGTCGATTGAAGTAAGCATGCGTATCCACGACATTTTCCTGCTAAAGGTTAGTTTTGTTATTTTGTTGATAGTGTGTTAACCATTCTCTCTAATCGTATTTGAGTTTTTGCAGCATAACCTGAAGACCGGAGCAAAGTATAAGCGCAACCCATCATTTGCAGAGTTTGATTTCATTACGTTGAGCCAAGCAATTGTTTATTGCCGTGATGTGCTGCCGGATTCATCCCAGACAGAGTACTTGTACAAGTTGTTAACCCGCCAACCTTCTCAAACTAGCATTCAAGAGCGCTTGCGACCTGGTGGTGCTCAGTTGGAGTCAATCGTCAGTGGGAACGCTTGTACAACCTGACGTCAATCTCAACAGTCGTAATGGAGGCATCCATGCTCAGCAAAAGAGCCCCTTCATCGGATATTCGACAGCTACTTGCGTCAGCGTACATGAAGAAAAAGAAAATCTCGCAGATTGATTTTGTAGAGCAGCTTAGACTTGAGCCCGAGATCGAAGCTCGAGCAGATATTACTTCAAACGAATTTCCGTTGTTGGAGCAATTACGCAGTGAGCAACTATCATTGAATAAGGAAATATACTGGTGAAACAAGTGTCGTGCTGTAACTACATTGTACAATGCTGCAGTTCGTCAATTCGATACCCCCAGTTTGAACTGAGGAAGCGCAGCTTTCGCACGATTGAGAAGAATCTCGTTGCCATAGACGTCAAGTTAGAAACACGAAAAACGTTGCCCTCCAAGCCCAGTATACTTGGCATCAACAAGGACAAGATAATTGATGACCAAGCGGACTCGGAGGATGGCGACTAGTTCCTGACAAAACTTTTCAATTTGCTTCGTGAGAAAGGTGCAATAAAAAGAGAACTCAAGTGTTCTGCAATGTATTCGATTTAGCTGCTTGCATGTGCGCAATTTTTCCGACCAGGACAGCAAAACAATGGCTAATTCGCCGCTGAACCACTCTCCGTACTACTGAAAATCGTCGCTAGCATTTGAAAACTCACGTAAAGAAACCTGGAACTGGAGCCACACTCGAAAGCAAACAGATTGACTCCAATTCATCGAGTGGGGATGCTGCTCCACCAGTAATTAATATCTCGGATAGATGCAGTCTGCCTGACGTTATCCAGCCGAATTTAATCCCCGTCATTACTCCTATACCACCGCTATTTACTAGTGGAAGCGCTCTGGCCTCAGCTTTAAACGTTTCGGAATCAGAAGCAACTTCAGTGCCACCCCTAAAATTATTTCTGCTAGTGAGTTTGCAGATTCAATACCACGATCGAATGGTAAATGGGCAAAGGTCTTGCGGGAATACACCAAGAAAAACTCGACAACGCAGTTGAGTGCTGAAAATCTACGCTGTCGTCTGAAAAATGAAAAAAAAACCGGTTTTCTGATGCAAAAGAGCAACTAGCTCCCGCGAACGATCCCTTAACATGCTACTCGAAAACAAAAGCTGCTACTACTGATATAGCAAATCGCTCCTTCCACCTAGATACGAGTTCTTCAATTATCACTACAAAGAAAAGGCGTGCTGCGTGTCGAACCCTGTCATGACGCCAAGCTAAAATGTGGACCATCAGCAAAATTTAGGCCTGTGAGTGCCGCGCACAATCCAATCCCACGATCACGTCGTTCTTTGCTTCTGTTACGAGTCACAACACCAATGCCGATATCCAGTAAATGGACATCAACCAAAGTCACGTAGGCAGAGTCCAAACAGCTAAAGTTCATTGCCATCATGTTTTTGTTTCTACTACAAGTACTACCATTTTTTCCCTCGTATTCTCACAGCACATCGTTCGTGGCTATCCAATTTCTGATTGTCTGAGTCCAGCAGCGCTCATTGGTTGACTATTCTCGGAGTGCCCAGGATATGTAATCAGCACAAACATCGGTGCACAACGGTGCTCAACGGTGGACAGCGGTCGCAGGACAATCTCGAGAATTCCGGTCAAGCCAGTAATATGATGTATAGATTTTGGTTGCCTTGTTACAAGCCCCGTCTGATGATGTTATGTATCACTTTACATTTTTGTACCGTAATTAGCTGTTACCAACGCTGACAATCGCATCCCTCGACAGCGCCGTACTAGCACTTGGAATGAGTGTGCCAGTTTGACTGAAAATGCCAAGTTAGTGACTAAGTTGTTACCTCCGTTTTTTGTTGCTGGGGAGTACCGACTGGCTGGCAATCATGGATGCGCATGCTTACGAAGCCAGTTATTATATCCATTTCCTGGCTCGTAATTTTTAAACGATAACTATGTTTAAAATGTAAGTAATTTTATTTACGTACGCATTTTGACTGTGCTGTATTCTCTGACATAGCTTTACAATTTATTTTTATTATTGTTTGTTTGATATCTTGAAAAAGAGATTCCCATTCCAATCCGCTTCAAATGGACACTTTGTACGTTTCGGTGTACTCACGGGTGTCACCAAAAATCAACGTCCAAGGGCAAGAGACAGCATTCTGTCCGCTCTGTAGAATATCCGGCTCGTTCTGCTGCCGTTGTTGTGGATTTGGCTGGCCAGTGGATAGTTATTGTGGAAAAATGAGGTATGTTGGTCAATTTCACTATTATTCCCTATTTCTTATATGTATAATATTCGCAGACACGAACTCACAAATACGTGTCGAGCTCTGATATCGCGAGCTCCTACCTGGGTGTCGGCTCGACTGACTGCCACCCAAAAGTCCCGAGCATCCTATCGAACATGGTCGATGCAAGGGAAGAGCCTGGTGTTGTTTATCAGACTACTCTGCAAAAGCGCTGCTTCGAGCTTTGGGGTGACAGTCTAGTTATGGACTGGACCCATGGCTCAAATTATCTCGGATACCCGCTTGGTACGACTCACCGTTATGTGGTGCAATATCGCAGTACTGTATTACTGTCTGCACTATTCGACATTTGATGTTTTCTAACCTTTATACAATAATTGTTACCATCCAACGCAGGTAGTCTAGTAGTCAAAACACCAACAGGCCATGGAATTCCTGTCTCGATTTCATCGCTACTAATGAGACGTTAGCAATGATCAAAGAGATTTCTTACTTTTTTAATGCTAAGAGCCCGCGCTGGACAAATACTTGCACGTTTGTCATCGACAAGGACTTCGTTGAATGGGCTATCATCGAGTCTAGTTTTCCAGATGCCAACGTGCTACTGTGTCAATATCAGGCTATGACGTACTGGAAGACTAAGGTTCTCTCTCGTCGATGCTATAATCTCACACTCAGTCAGCGTGACGTCCTCGAGACAATGGTTGTGGGAATGCTGAAGAGGTACATACCATGTATACAATATTATTCCATCACTGGCTGCTAATTTTTTAGATATTTGTCAGCAAGATCGACCTTTTCACGAGTGGTACAGATTTTTCAGTCTATCATGACGAAGAATTATCTTTGCAGGTGTACTTCGATGAAAACCGGAAAAGCTGCACCGACATGTGGGTGAACTACACCAGAGGACAGTATTTCTCAGCAACGAATACAACATATCGCGTTGAGGCTAACAGGTTTTAAGTGAATCGGTTCGTTGGTCATCGACCACGATGTTTTGCTGCGCTCCACACTCATCAACTCTTTGTACTTCGGCAGTTTTTGTCGGCGATCAACTGGCATGCATCTCACGTCAAATATGTGCTGTCCCCACGTTTTTAAAGGCTGCATCTTCTCGCCTGAGTAACTACACCTACACACTAATTCGGAAGGAGTACAACATTCTCCACTGCGACATGTCGTAGACTGGATTTGGAAAAAATAGTGACAAAGAGTGACAGTCTACACGAATTGTCGCTCTTACCGGTGTGATACGGAGTTGGGGAGGTGTTCGTGTTTGTTTTTCTCCATTGCTCGATTACCATGCCACTCGCCGTCAAAAATGGTTTGCAACTGCGTTGACTGCCGCCCAAACCTGTGGAAAATCGATGGTGTACGACGCAAGCAATGAATTTGTTTTCGGGTTTTAGCGATCTCAACCGTGTAATCTCATCGGCCATCAGCCATGCTACGCTCCAAGGCCGAAATAATAACCGAATGAGGCATTACAACTTTCCGGGTTCGTCGCTGGCGGAAGAAGGCATCGACCCAACGCAACAAGTGGATACTCAGGGTGCTCTGGAAGTTTTACACCGCTTAAAGGTAACCAGTTAACTTCGACTGTGGCACTATCTGTTCATAACTGTCCTAGAGCAACCTTGCAACCTCTTAACCCTTTCAGCACAATTGGTTCCTGCGGGAATTTCTTGTCATCCTCCTTCGGAAAGAGTATGCGTTCGTGAAGAGGTGCATCTTCTCGCCGCCGTCATCTTCTTTCGATTCTTTGTCTTCGCCACCGTGGCTGCTCGCTTCACTGTATCTACTTATGCAAGTAATTCTTGCAACTTACGATCGTTGCTATCTTCCGTTGCCGCCAAAACTTCCTCCCGAAAAGATACGATGTCTTCAACTTCGAACAAATCTTCATCACCAGTTACACCATCTGCGTCGATCGTGTTGGAAGATGGATCGTACTGTATATTTGCGTAGCAGCTGCTACCAGCAGCGAAGTAGTGCACGAGCTTGAGCTGCGCCGCTCTGGTGTGCCAAACGCGGCTACCCTTGCGGCTTCTCTTGATGGTATCACGAGCTTGGCTGAGTTTTCGACACTTACATTCACTGACAGCTTCTTATATATTTGCGCAATGCAGCGATCCTCCAAACTTTTTCTGCTTCCACCGTGTTACGTAGCGCTGTGTGGATAAGAGCTAGCTCTGAGAAGTATCGCTCATACGTTGCCATATTACGTTAATGGAGAGAACAGCCAGCGCTAGATTTGGGAGGCAGTGGGTAGGATAAACGCCTTCCAGTGTTGCCAAAACGTGGCTAATGGAGGAGGTGAGAGCACTTTAAACTGTTTCAGCTTTACTGAGGAACTGCCCATGTACGCGCCACCAAACCAGTGGTCCAGCTTTCTATCAATCGTGGCTGGCTCATCGCCGAGAAGGTGTCAATAGTCGTATTCAGCAATTTCGCATATGTTGCGACGTCCTGATATTTTCGTATCTGCTAACTGAGGCGCGTTTGATATTAAGGCGGGTGTAGATAGAGACAGAGCATGAAGCGTGGCTGTTTATGTGCCGCCCATGGGGCTTCAACGGATCTAGATGGCCGACGCGGTGAATGCTTGTACTGCAGGTTTCATGCAGATCTTGAAATACATTTACTGCATCAGCGAGAGTGTTTTCGTCGTTTTATAGCTTTAGTAACGCAAAACATATCGCGTAAGTCACTTGCTCTGTATACTGAAGCGAGACCCAAATCCTATCCTTCTCTAAAACAGACAATTCCGACGTATAATCCGGATCTTCACGAACTTGGTGCCAAAAACATGCAATGCTGTTCATACGCTGAGAATTGACGCAAAGCAACCTGCATAGAGTCCCAACGCGTCGTGCAAAGAGTTTTAAATTGCCGATTTGCATCATACGTCTGTATTATTACCTTTTGGACTCGTGGTAACCGTTTAGCTGTTGAAGAGTTTATAAATTTTACGACAGCTTGGGCTTGCTGTGATACTTTCCGAAATGAGTCAACCCGAAGAATTATTTTAAGCAGGTTATTAATATCGAGCGCTAGGCACTTCAGAAGCGCAACGCGTGGTCATCGCAGAGCTAGAATTCTTCAAGTGCGGGCGCTTTGACCATCATCATCTGTAACGACGCCACCAATAAGCCATCCTATGGATTCAGCTTCTACCATCAATATCTTCATTTGTAGCGCTAACCCCAGACCATCATGGCGGGAACCAGGTGAACAAATTCAAAAAGACCAAGGCTCTCAAAAGAAGTTGTTTAGCGATATTTTTTTTTCCAAATTTCGCTAAGTAAACTCACACGCCCATCCGTTCTTTGCTGGAGATCCATCCGATTCTTCTTTGATCATTCTTCTTTATCACTATTGAGCATCTTTTTGGTGGACCGATGCTTTTCCAGCATAGGTCCACCAAAACGATGCTCTCAACGGCTCGTGGATTAAAGTACTCGAAAGTCGAATTGTAGAGCCCTTTTTTATAAATGTGTCAGGCAATCGATTCTCTGCTTGAAACTCGAGCAGATGTTTAAATAATGATGCCGACTTCTTTGAGTGAGAGCGGTGGTGAACGTGGATCTTCAATGTCTGTCTGAGGCGGCGCAGAGTTTGTTCTCAGCGCTACCGTAGCTTCTCTTGCCATTCGAGATGCTGGTGTATGCGGACAACACATCAGATGTTTGCGTAAAGAGACTACGCTGCCGTGGACGTTCTTGATACTGAACCCTTCTGCAGCGCGGCTGTCTTTCTTCGCTAGACCTTCTTTTTGCTAGAATACAATGGAGGCAGAGATGGTAAAACTCATTGTGTTGGTTACACCGTTCCTCCGTCATCTTGATTTGAATCCACACGTAGTCTGGCTTCCTCCCCAATATCTGCAATGCTCCGTGCGTGGCGATGAAATCTACAACGCATAATCGACAGCAAGGTTGAAGGCAAAGATTGATTGAAGTATAATAAATCACCAGTTAGTATCTACCGCGCTGTATAAAAGAGTGATATGGATCCATACAAATAGCAAGAAAATAATATCGCACTTAAATGAATAAGAATATACAATATTTAAATATTTTTTGTGTGATCTCTGCCTACACCCAAGCGGTTATGTGAAAACACCACAGCATGTTTATCTAAGGTGGCTCGAATTAAGGCAAAAATAGTAGCATCAAGTACAAGCAAATCCTGAATATAACCAGACGGTATTAAAAATGCACAAAAGTACCGGACAACACGGAATTCCTGCAACCAACAGATTTGATGCAACCGGGACGTAAAAGGTGATGGGCAACCAAATTTTCTAAATTGACACCCCACCCCCAACTAACCTCTATTCTTTTTAAAATACTAAGACCAATTACAAAACGACTTCCAGAAAAAAGAAAAATGTTTTTTATTTAGCAGCTAGTTCAGGTGTTGGAGGCGCAGAAATGATAAATTTACCGTCCTTCGTTCTGGGACATATGGGAATAAGGCCTGCCTTCACGAATCCACGGCGAATCGTGTCAGGTGGCACCATCCTCCAAACCTCTTCAACAATTTTGTTATTGGCCGACCCCTTTCAGATGCATTTTCGCTAAAGTCATGCGTTGTGTGGTGCTGAACGTAGTGTTCACGATACGCGTGTTTAAACACACGCATCACTGAAACGTCCATGGGCTGAGCTAGTCCTGTAGCACCTGCTAGGATGAACTCCACGTCGGTCATTGCTTGCTGGAGCTGTTCTCGTACGATTCCCATCTTGTGGACTTTAGGCTGTCGAGTAGAAGTAGACGGCAAAACGTCACCGATGGCGTCCATACCTACGAGTAATTATGTCGGTTAATAAAAATAGAAATAATATTTAAAACATCACTAAACTTACATCTTTTACCCATTGAAGCATAATGCGTTCATCACAATACGCGTTCTTTTGGGCTGTGAGTACTACACGGTCAGCAATGTGATGCTCATTCTGCTGTACTTCACAGTGAACCGGGCCCCCTTCGACACCACCAAAAACAATAAAGGCAGGCAGCTTGTCGCCGTTAGCTGACGTGCAAAGAAAACGCTAGCCCGAAAAGAATTCTCCGACATCCCTTCAAATGCAATATGTTAAGACAAATTAAAAAAAATAGCGTAAGAATACATAAATACCTTGGCCAACATCGACATCTCGCTCCCCACGGAAAGTAATTGTTGTTTTCGGGTTCATGTCAATGTAAATCGACGTCTGGTCCATGTTGTAGATATGATTGAACTTATCACTTCCTGTTTGGGCCTCCAACTTGTAGCGCATTGCGTGCCCAAACTCATCTGCTACAATCTAAATAAAACAATTTTAGTAAAAAAATAAAATTAGATAAATAAAAATATACAAATACCGCTACCTGCAACTCAGAACGTTTGCGCTGTCCCTTGTGGGTAATTCGGCGCACGGACAGCTTATTTCGGACTCGGAAACGACGCAGGTACTCAATAGCAGCTTGCTCTGAGCGGTCTTCTAAAAAACGGTTTTCTAGACGCACGCTCATTAGCAACAGACACCTTGTTGTTATGGCCCTCACTTTATATTTACGCATGTCGTTCACCCATTCCAGCAGCCTGCAGTCGTAAACATCCATTGTTAGTAATCTAAAATTAAATAGTCATTTTTCCCGTACTGTTTTTCAAGGTCTGGGAAGTTTACTTTGGGCCCTCTGCGTCCGGGGAGGGCACTTTACTGGTAGCACTCGCTGCCTCGATTTCCTTGCGGCGTTTCGTCCATCGATAAAGAGTCGTGCGGTCACATCCATGCTCTTCAGCAAGCTGCTTCGAAACCCTCAGCGGTGCTGGCATCAATAATTGCCTGCAGGCGTTGCGCATTTGTGTGCTGCGCGACGCGCATTTTCAAATACATAAATTAGTGGGAGCCCACATCAAAAAATAATTGCATAATAGCCACTAATTCCCAGAGCCATGTGACCACTATTTACCAAGTTCGACTTTTTACAAATCCTATTGTTGGAGTTTTTACATCGGTTGCAGGAATTCCATGTTGTCCGGTAGGTGGATTCTAGACATGGGCAAACCCCGGCAAAAAAGTCCCGAGCCCCCCTCCCCTCTTTCAACCAGTGTATGCTGGATATTCCAAAAAAAAAAAAAATCAGAGGGGGTAGAAAGCAAGGGTGGCGTCGAAGAAATATGTCCAGCTAGAAACACCCCGGGAGCTCAAGTTGA